GTTGGAGGGAGGGAGGGTGGCGCAGGATTGGACCTGGTTGAAATCACGGGCAAGTGAGTGCTGCAGGATTGCTGGGTCCTGTGGGCTTCACTGGTCGGCGCTCGTGAGGGTGCCACACGCCGCCAGCGGGGTCCTTGGAGAAAGTGCCAACACATAAGCACTGCAAATGCCGAACAAGCAACAGAGCCCACACATACACACACCTGCTGAAGTACTCCTTGACGTCAGCCTCAGTCGTGTCCTTAGTCAGCTTGCCCACAAATATCCTGGGCCCCGCGCGCGCGTGGCTGATCACCGGGTTGTCCCCCTGGTGGCGCTGCGCTGCTGCGCCCGCGCCGGCGCCGTTCCCCGCGCCCGTGCCGGCGCCGCATCCGCCGCGCGGCGCGACAGCAGCGGCGGCGGCAAGGGCGGCGGCGTGCTGCTGGCCGTCGAGGGACTTGCGGGGGGCGCCCAGGCCGGGCTGCGTCATGGGGGGCTTGTAGAGGCCGTCTGGGGGTGTCGGTGGGTTGTGAGGGCGGGGTGAGCGTGATGAGGGAACACGGTCAAAGTTCTGCTCGTGCTGTTGTGGGCCCAGGAGCAAAACAACTAGGCATGGCTCGCATGCTGACGGCCAAAAGGGCATGCAGGATACAGGCGCAGGCGGCACGACGTGCGTGGGTGCGTGCGCACCTGTGTAGGGCGAGCCGCCAAACAGGGGCATGTCCAGCCCGAGCCCCATGCCAAGGCCAGGCAGCCCCATGCCCATCGTCATGCCCATGCCGATGCCGTACGGCCCCAGCGCCGCCTGCGCCTTTGCCAGGTTCTGCAGCGCCGCGCTTGTGGACAGCCCGCCAAACCCGCCCAGCAGGCCCCCCAGCCCGCCGGCCCCAAAGGACCCCGCGCCGAGCCCCGCGTCGCCGGGCGCCGACGCGCGCTTCGGCAGCGGGTCCGCGTGCAGCGCCGCCAGCGGGTGGTGGTGCGCCTGCGGGCTGCCGAGCCCGCCCGCGCCGGGGCAGCCGAGCTCCTCGAAGCGCCGCGCGAGGTCCGGCAGCGCCGCCGCCGCCGCGACCTCGGCAGAGTCGTGGCCGGGCAGCTGGTAGCACGACGCGGCGGCCGCGGCGGCGATGGCGGCGCCAAAGGGGTCGGAGGCGGCGCCGGCGCCGCTGAAGGGCGCCGAGGCGGCGGCGGCGGCGGCGGCGCCGAGCAGGCTGCTGTAGTTCATGACGGGCGTGAGGCCGGGGCCGACGATGCCAGCGCCGTTGTCGAAGGAGCGGCGCGGGCCGGCGGCCGCGGCGGCGGGGCGGAGGATGGCATCGGAGGCGGGCGCGGGGGCCCTGCCGTCGTCCTTGGGGGTGGCGCGGTCGATGGCTATCTCGTGGCCATTCATCCTGGAGGAGGGGAAGGGAAGGGGAGGGGGACAGAGGAGGGCAGCGTGAGGGTGGGGCATTGGATGAGGTGAGCGCCCCGGGCAGCTTGGGAGTGGCGGAGGTTTTGGGCGCCGCAAGGACGCGGGTCAACGAGAAGAGGTCAGGGGGGCGGGCCAGGCGGCGGGGCGGCGCCCGGCAAGGCGCTTCGCGGAGCGGAGAGTGCTGTGTTTGGGCGCACCAGTGTTTGCATGAGAGTACGCGCTCCACGCTCTCTGGGCATGCGAAGGTGACGAACCCGATGCCGCGGTATGCCTGCTTGGAGTGGTCCTTGGGCATGTAGGCGTCCTGGGGGCCGGGGCGGCAGGAGGATAGGCGAGGGAAAGGGGGCAGGGGGCCTGAGGTCAGGGTGGGGGCAGCCATCAAGGAACGAGAACGCGCGAGTTGTGTTGTGTGGCGCGTGCCTGGAAAAGCATGGGGCTGGCAGGCGCGAGGGGGCGCGGCGGCGGGGGCGGGAGACACCAAGGGTAAGGATGTAGGCCCCCTGCGCACGCAGCGGGGGAGCGCGCCCGGACGATCCCGGGGGATAGGTGCGCGGCTGACAGGTGGGGGTGCGCAGCACCCGCGGAACGGGGAGGGGCCCGGGGCGGCGCGAGCGCACCTGCAGGCGCCCAAACTTCTCAAAGTAGCCGCGGAACTGGCTCTCGCTGACGGCTGCAGGGATGCGCGCCACAAAGATGCGCGTCGTCCGCACGCCGCCCGCGCCGGCCCCCACGCCGGCGCCGGCGCCGCCGGCGCCGTCGCCCTGCAGCAGCAGAGCCTTGGGCAGCGCGACCTTGGCCTCGCAGCGGCGGCCGTCGATGACATGCTCGCAGCTGAGCGCGTGGCGCGCGGACAGGGGGTCGACGAACGTGACAAAGCCGAAGCCGCGGCTCTTGCCGCTGAAGCGGTCCTTCATGACCTCTGCGGCGTCGACGACGCCGTACTGGCTGAAGTGGAGGCGCAGGGTGTCCTCGCTGCGGGGCAGGGCCGCAGTGGCAGGGGGGGGAGGGGAGGGGTGAGGGAACCAAGACTGGGAGGCAGCCAGGCTTGCGGTCGGCCAACTGCCAACTGCCCTGTCTGCTTGGCTTGAGCCTGGCCCAAACAGCTGCCACGAGCTGGCGCGTGCAGAGGACAGCATTCGTGCAGGCGGTCACCCCGCACAGTCACCCCGCACGGCCGCCATGCTGCTCGCTCGTAAGCACATGCAAGCGGCGTCCGCGGGCCTTGCTGACCCCTCGCAACAGGCGTGCGCCCGTGTGTTGCTCACGTCGTCTCCCAGGGCAAACCGAGGATGGCGAGCTTGCGCGCGCTGTCATCTGCGCCCAGCGCGCCCCCGCTGGCGACGGTTCCGCAGGAGCCGGCGGAACTGAGCGCATGCACAGGCATGGTGGGGCAGCAGCCGTCGGTGTCAGGCGCGCCGCAGAACGCGGCAGCCGCCGCTGCTAGCTGCCGCTGGTGCTGCTGCTGCGCCGCGGCGGCGGCTGCCGAGAGCAGGTCCGCTGGGCTGATCGGCACGGGGCTCGTGGCGCCGCCGCTGCCGCAGAGGTTGGGGCTGGTGTGGCCGCCGGACACTGCGAGGCGGAGCGGGCCGCGCTCGCTGTCGGGGCTGCTGCTGAGCAGGGTCATGGCGACGCCGCAGCGCCTGGCCGCATCGCTGAGCGGGGGGGACCCGGTAGCTAGATCGCGCCAACCCGGCTGCGCCAGGAGGGCGATGGCGGCGGACGACGCCGTGCTTGCCGCTGCAGGTGGCCGGGGCCGCTCGCGGGTGGTGCCGCTGCTGGGAGGGGCGCCGCTGCCGGCGAGGTGCCTACTGTGTGCGCGCGTCCGCGCCGCGGCTGCGGCGGAGGCGGCTGAGAATCGTCTGCGAGTGCAATTGCCACGGCGTGCAGGGGGGTGCATGGGGCGGTGTGAGAGGTTGGCATGCGGGCTGCGGGCGCGCCAATGTGCAGAGATACCTCTGAAAAAATCAGCGCGTGCCAGCCTGGCCGGCCGCTTGCCCGCTGCAGCAGCACCGCCCACCGCGCGACTTGGCTTTGCGGCCGAATCGTGAGACTGATGAAAAACTGAACAAGGGACAAGCGTTCGGCGCGCGAGATCGTAGCCACACCAGTGAACCCGCGTGCAATGCTCCCAATCCAAGGCCAGCGGTGCACAATTGGATTTGCGGCTGTCGCCAATAGACCCGCGGCCCAGAACAATGCCCTAAACGGAGCTTTGTGCTTTGGTCCGGCACGCGGCCCGAGTGGGAGGGAGGGGTCCAAGGGCTCGGAAGCAGGGCGTGCTATGCTTTGTCAAAAACTTAAAAGCACGTCATGAGACGGCCCCCGCTGAAGATGGCCTTCCCCAGACCTCCTCTCCCCCTCACCTGGACTTGCCCCGCGTGGCAATAGAGCTCTCGTCGACGGGCCAGTAAGTTCTCGTTTGGAAGCTCCTCTGTGACTTTCTAGGGGCTTGGCGGGGGCTGGGATGAGGCGTGGTGAAGCGCGGGGCCGTCGCAAGGCGCTGTTGCTGTCAAGCCTGTGCGCGGTCGTGTTGGATTCGTGGTGCAAAAACCAATGATTGGGTGTTGTAATCGAACTTTGCAAATGGATCGTGGGAGCGTGCACGTCCAAGCAACTATCGCGCCGTGGATCCTGTGAGGCGGCAAATATCTCACAGCATCCTCGCGCAGGGAGCGTCACACCAAGGCTACCGATAGCGATGATTATGCTTGAGGACTCAGAATTTTGCTGAAAGCAGCAAGATGGCATACATCACGCCGGGGGCCGCGGCACGGAACGGAGGTGCTTCAAAAGTATCTACAGGATACAGTGCGCACAATGCAGGGGCTTCCAACATGCACAGCCGCCCCATTCCCAAGAGGCTGTTGCTTGTATCTGTCTCTCCCTAGCTGGCTGTAACCCACGGCGCTGAGCCCCTGCCGGTACAAGCACATGGTGGACGGTTATGACTCACATGGTGAGCTCAAGGTGCCAGCCTCCTCGGGTCAACCCAACCAGGCGACTGCGCCAACCAATCCCAAACTTTCAAACACAGCCAAAGCAGCCAGCTTCTCGGGACGCTGCATGTGCTTGGTGTGATCAGCAGGCGTGTTCCGATGAATGAGACCACTGTGATCAGCTCGGGCACCTGCGGCGCTGGCGAGCAGCCCGCGAGCACGGCACACGCATGCGCGCGCATGTGGGTGCCGCTCATGTATTCTTGCTGTCTTTTGACTTCGTTTCTGTGGCCTCTGCGTGTGCGCAATCAGTCAATCTAGCGGGCGCAGCCGAGGGTTGAGGGCGGCAGGGCCGGGGCTCGCTTGACGCAGACCAGTCCGCGCCCAGTCAGCAAGCCTCCGTCACAGCAGACTTTACAGGCAAGGCTTTCGCCGCGTTGCCAGCCCAGAAAACACTGAACGATGCGCGCGCACGGGTGGTTGCCACGGCGGAGGATGAACGCGTTGAGTATAAGACACACTGGCCAGTCTCCGGATTGGCCACGCACGGCGAGCAGAGCCCGATGCATGATGGGCATCTCCAGTCTCCATTCCACCCTCTATCCCAGCACAGACTGCCCTGACACCATGAGGGCCCACCGAATACTGTAAATCTGCAGCGACGCTAGTCCCCACTCTACCCAAACGAATGTGGACGCCCTCCCTACAAACAGGCACATATTTGACCACACCCTACATCAGAAAAGGCCCCAGCTTCACACACGCTGGCATTGGCGTTGCAGCTCGCTCCCTGCAGCTGCTCAGCGCCTGCTAATGGCCCTGCTGCAACATCCGGGGCAGGGATGAAGATAATGTGGGCGGCATCAGAGCGGGCGATGGCTGGTCTGCCGCTGGTGTGCGTGGAGCCTGGCCCGCAACAGGCCTCAGTGCCGCAGCAGAGCGCCCTGTTACCAGCCACCCCCCCCCCCAGGGTTGCGTGCGGCCTCCTGCCTCTATCATATCTCAGCAGCCCGATGAGAAACAAATTACTGTGCCTCAGACGAAAAATAGCATAAGATTGCATCCGCAACGCATCAGCCCGCCGGCTGGCTATGGGCCAGAGCAGAGTTGCACGCACGCGTACACGCATGTTGAATGGTGAGCGCCGTCGCCCCCTTGTCC